TACACACACAACCGGGAATGCACGGCAAATCGTTTTAACAGAATGCTTTATGTTGAAGTAACTATTTTAACTTATTTTACAAACAACATATTTAGTAAAGTGAACCATACAGCGGGTTGGTTTCACTAAAGTTTTCTGGGTTAATTTAACCAATTTAAAAAAAACTATCTGGTTTAGTACCGTCAGACTAATCTTTGTTTATATAAACCTTTCCACAGTTGATAAAAATAAAAAAATACAAAAATAAATACTTACCTATGGGTCAACTAAATTAATATAGTTAAATGAACTATTCCTTTTTTTCTGTGTAGGTGCACTTCTCAAATATTTTTAGATAAACAACTTTTTGGTGTTTGCTGTATATAACATTTTCAACCATAATGTTATATTAACACCACTTGGTGTTCGATTTTGACACCATTTTAAGATTACTCTTTACACCACATATATTTTAAACATTGTAGACTCTAAATTTTAGAGTGCGTCTTTCGAGCATGTTAAGCCCGGATATTTCCCTCAATTTATTCTTTATATCGTGATTACTTCGCCTTAAATCGCACACAACAATTTTGTATTTTTTGAATTCTCCGAAAATCGAATTTAGTTAAACAGGGACCATACACAATGTCAGCATAGCTAAAAACTGAAGGCACCAATGAGTCACAAAGTATGTTTAGCAACTTTTTGTTTAAAAGCTTTCTTTGGACATAAATTAGTATTAAATTTTGACAAGCTCGACTTATCATGCCAGAAATATGCTGACTAAACTTAATAATAATAAGCACTTAAGCTTTCTGATGGTGCCTATTAATTGTTTATTTTTATGTTTAGTGTAGTTATTTAATTATATTTTTTTGTTCCAAATTAAATTTTCTTTTAAAATATTTGAAAACTACCCTGTATATTTAATAAATATTTTTTTGTGAATATTTCGGAAGCCCGACGTTCAATTGGTTTTCGGTTTTTACCATTTTATTTAGAAAAAAATACCACAAATTTTCTAATTTAACCGAATTAGCAGCTCAAAGATAACGAAGTTAGCAATGTGAGCAGTTAACTATGGACACCCTGTATATGATGGTAATTGTAATATATTTCCTTTTTTAATATTAAATAATTATTTTTAATTATAATCTTTCTTGTTTAATTTTAAGAAAAATTTGGCTGAAATATAAATATGTAAAGTATGATGTATGTTTAGAGTCAAACAATGACCAAGTATTTAATTGTGGCTTGTACTGTGCATCTATCACCAAATTTATGGCAAAAAATTTACAACAAAGGTCAGGTTTATATAAATTTAATACTTTTGTATTTTGTATTAAAATAATAAAATATAAATATTGTTTCAGAGCATATTTTTAATTATTTGTAAAATAAATATTACTGCCCTTTTTTCTCTCCATTTCATTTTTTTTTATGTTTATTAGTATATTTCTGGGCCCAAAAATAAATATTGTAAATTTCCTCTCAGAATTAAAAGTCCCCTCTACCTTGTTGAGCCCTTTACCCAAAACTTACTCTTTTAATTTCTAAGATAAAGCACATAATTTAAAAATTAAAAAGCAGAAAATAAGTTGAACATGGCACAAAATTTAAAAATCTTCAAAAGTATTTAAAAAATAAGACCAATACAATATTGGTTTTATTTTATAATCTTTATTATTTATTAAATAGTATTTTTTTAATTATCCATAATTATATTACAAAGTAAACATTTATATTTTTTAATTTAAACAAATAAATCAATAAATATTTTCACTCAAGTTCAATGTGAGGTGTAATTATTTTACAATGAAACTAAAGAAAGTTATAAATCAATTGATTTCAAGTATTCAGCTTTTCAATCAGACAAAAACAGCAAAGATATTTGATATAATTAACATGGTAGTAATTTAATCTTTTAAAAAAAGTTATTTTTTATTTATATCTTTGTTATAGGTATCTTTAACTTCTAAATTATATTTACAAACACAAATAATGTTTATTTTTATTCATATTTTAAATCAGTCGTTAACGACTGATATAAATTATATCAACCGATTTACATTTTACATGATTGTATTGGCCTAAAAACAAATCTACTAGAGCAAAATTATTTTCTATAGATAAAAGCAAATGTCACAAATGTCAAATAAATCTTGATAAAATCTGAATTGTTTTATGTCTAATTTAAAATGTCAATGTATGACTTTTTTATGAAAAATATAAACGTTATTTTTATAAAACAACAGTTTATAAAGAAAAATACTGCGTTGCCATGTCGTGCAAAAACCTATATCCACTGACATGCTAAATCAGTTGATATAAATAAATCAACGTTTTTGCATACGGCCCTTAGTAATATTTTACAAAAGTTGCACTTTATTTTAACGATTCTATGACATTTGACTGTAAACTAACTTAAAACTACTTCAGCCCGTGACTAAAAATCTGTTACTAACTTTAGCCCGCGACTAAAAGGCCAATGTGTATTTAAAAGATCACTTGAGGCCTGTCAGAGCAAAGTCAACAATCTCCCGTCAGACTAAAACTGAGTAAATTGAGATAATTGATTTTGGTATTTTAAATTCTAGATTTGTTATTTTTTTTAAATATTATATTGAAATATTGTTGTTGTCTAGTAGCCAACTACAAGGTCTCCAGGATGCATAGTAGAGGTGAAATCGTTAATTATAAATTGGAAATTGCTGACTTTTATATGAATTGCTGGAGATTGCTCATTTTGTTGTAAACGTTTAAGGAAATTTATAAAAATAAACAAAAATATAATTGTATTTTTATTCCTTTAATGGTTATAAAATTTAACTATACAATCAATGTGGAAAATTTCTGAACTAGACCACATAAATCTGTAGTTTCTTACAAATCTGGGACCAAGTTGCCTCGTCCAAAAAAGTTTTTTATGGTACAACAACTCATCATCTTCTTCCCACTTTGCTCCGTAATGTTGTACTTGCAATGTTTTGACATTATTAGCCTTTTCTTGCCTTACCTTTACTTTTTATTATGGTTTAATAGCACAAAATAAACAAGATGACTTGTTTTATAATTCTTAAAACAATAAAACGTATATATATATATATATATAGTAAACGTATATATTTATATATATATAGTACCTATTTTAAATATATTTTGCAATTTTGCAATTTACTGCAATAGAACTTAACAGTAATTTTACCAGTTAAAAAACACAAAATTAAATCTCTAAAATACGTTATAACATCAAATGTTAGGATATCAGGTGACACAAATTACTAATTTCTAATGATGGAATTGGAGATTGTATAGTTTGCAGCAAATCTATCAGTGGAGATTGTCGACTTTGCATTAAATGTCATTTTTAAAATAGGATTTTAGGCAGGATTTTGCAGCACATAAACTTTATCATCTTATAGATAATTAGTTGAAGTACAGTCTCCGCCAAAAATCTAATTTTTGACCAAAAGTGGAGATTGTCGGTTTGTGTGACAGGTCTCACTTAGTATCATGTAAACATGTACGATAACCACGGTGCTGTTCTGAGAGGTGATTTTTGGATTTTCTGTGAAACCTAATTTTTTTATATTCTTGTTAATTAGGTCATAACTAAAATTTTAAGAGCAAAATAAAAAAAATTTGACGGTTAATTTTGTTTTAATTGGATGTTTATTAAAAATATGTATGCACACTTTCAATTCTCCAATTAAAACTTGCGATTTTATTTAAATATTATCATAACTTTTTAAATCAGATTAAAGATTAGTTAATTTCCTAAAAAAGGTCTATACATTTTTTATATCTTTTACTGTTTTGTTGTAATACACGTTTAAAGTTTTAATTTAAGGTTAAATGTATAGTATACATTTATTAAACAATAATTCTAAGGGCGCCACATTTTATTTAGGGCCGATTTATTCATTTTTGATTTATTTGACGAATAACTTCTTTGGATACTAGATATTGCTAAGACATGAAAGTTATCGGCCCGATAAACTTTACTAAAGATGAATAAACCGGTCCTTAGTTAAATTTCATGAATTTCTTCGTAACTTTTACTACAATTTGTCATTTTTGTTTATAAAAAACACTTTAAAAAACTAAACAAAAATTATAAAATACGTATACTAAAAATGAAAATTCAAACATCAAATAAATTTTTAATAGATCTAAGTTTCATGGCAACCTTTAAGGATATATTAATTAAGGGAACATAAATGTATACGTCAAAGGTTAGATTAAAAGTTTGAACGTTTATTGCAACAAAACAGTAAAATATATTAAAAAAATTGTAAAAAACTTTTTTTTAGTTATGCAAATATTAAATATTTAAATTAAATCTCTAGTTTAATTGGATAATTGAAAGAGTGCATAATATTTTTAATAAAGAGCCAATTAAAACAATTCAAACCGTCATTTTTTTTATTTTGCTCTTAAAATTTTAGTTATGACCTAATTAACAAGAATATAAAAAAAATTAGGTTTCACAGAAAGTCCAAAAATCACCTCTCAGAACAGCACCGTGTATTGTTTGTACGACCATTCTAAAAGAATTGACACTTTCTTGATAAAAAACAAAAATTCTAAAATTATTATTATTGTTTTTATATACTTATTTTGAAGGTTTTCTATAATATAATATTCATCGTATTTAAAAATTTAAAAAGAAACAAAAATTTATAAAAAACAAAAACTGAATGCTTTTTTAGAACATTTCAAGAAAGATATTAGCATTCCATACAAATTCGTCTAAAATAAACACTTTTGTTTACTACAAAACACTTTATTTTTAGTTTTCCATTTGCACCCACTATCCTCTTGAACTTTCCTGCAGTTTTACATCCTTTTCTTAAGGAAAAAAGCTATCACACTGTGAGCCATTCAGGAGTAGAGAAAACGGCACATTGGGTCAGGATATCCACGAGGCCGATCCTCGCCGAACCGCGTTCGCCCCGAACCGTTCATCTAAAAGCTGCCACAACGAGGATGCAAGGCTCAGTCTCATCTGGGATACCGCCGGAGAATCTGGCCAGGGTCCGACCTCGATCAAGCACGCGAATCGCTCGCTTAGCACTAGCGTGGCAAGGTCGTTGTCGTAGGCTATCGTTTAACACACACGTGACATTTTGCGAACATAACAAACTGACTTTTGCTGGTGGTTTTTGAGGGTTTTTGAACAGGGTATGTAATATTTTGTATTAAATAGTTTTCAAAAGTTTTTCAAGTTACGCCCTTAAAAGTTTTTCTTTGAGATTAATTTTTTGTAACTTTTTAAAAGTTTTTTTTTATTTTATAAGAAGATGCCTTGTATCTGCATTTAAAAAATAATATAATTTTGTAAATTTATACCGGTTTTTTAACTTTATTTAATGGTGATTTTACTGTACTGGATTAGAAAACTAACTATAAATCCCGGCGCATTCGCCATTTTTGACAATTATATAAATACTTTTATATTTATATTTTATAAAATTCAATTTAGTATGTTTCATATAGACAAATTGGCAGCTAAAAACATTGATAGAATTAATATAACGTTTTAAGCTGCCAATTTAACCATATAAAATTTAATGTCAAATACTAAAAAATTAAATTGAAACGTTTTTAGCTGCCAAGTTGACTATATAAAATTTTATAAAAAATAAAGCACTTTTTAAATTTTCAAAAATGGCAATATTATAAATTATAACACAGTTCAATACGATTATCCTCTCATGAAAATTTTTAACAGATTTTAAAAAACGTACCCGTGTATCACGTAAAAATTGTAACAGGTTTTGAAAATAAAGCTTAAAAAACGTACCCGTGTCTCACCGTTTTACGTCATTTAAATTATTATTATTTTGTTATAAATATTTTTTTTTCAAATATTGTATGTTTTTACTAAATAAAAAAATTATACTTAAAAAAATTAATAAAAAAAAATAATTTCTATTTTTAATTTTTGTGTTTTTTTTAATAAAACAAGAGATTTGTATTTATATTCAATATATGTTTGAAAAAAATCTTTTAGTTTTAGAATTTTAAAATCTATATTATTAAAAAACACCTGCGTCTATCCCCGGTACTCAAAAAACCGTATCTATATACAGGGTGGTCCAGGATTAATCTGAAAAATTTTAATAATCAATAGAGCCTAAAAAAACAATAAAAACAAACCCAAAAACATTTTTCAAAAATACACACTAACACACTAATAGCCCTTCAAAGGCAAAAAAAACGGTTTTTTTTAAATAACTTTTAAACCATTAGTCCGATTCTGCTCAAATTTTGTGTAGGTAAATTTTTTTACAAAAGGCCTAGCGGCGGAGATTTTGGAGGGGTTTTCCCTTTTTACCCCCATATTTCGACACAAATATACACACTATAATAGCCCTTCAAAGGCAAAGAAACGGTTTTTTTAAATAACTTTTAAACCATTAGTCTGATTCGGCTCAAATTTTGTGTAGGTAAATTTTTTTATTTTATAAGGAGATACCTTGTATCTGCCATTAAACAATAATATAATTTTGTAAATTTATACCGTGTCTTAATGGTGGTTGGTACTGGATTAGAAAACTAACTATTAATCCCGGCGCATTCGCCATTTTTGACAACTTTATAAATACTTTTATAAATACTTTATATTTTTTAAAATTCAATTTAGTATGTTTCATATAGACAAATTGACAGCTAAAAACGTTGATAGAATTAATATAACGTTTTAGGCTGCCAATTTAACCATATAAATGTCGAATACTAAAAAATAAAATTGAAACGTTTTTAGCTGCCAAGTTGACTTTATAAAATTTTTAACATAACATGTTAAATTTTGTAAAAAATAAAGCACTTTTTAAATTTTTAAAAATGGCCATATTATAAATTATAACACAGTTCAATACGATTATCCTCTAATGAAAAATTTTAACAGATTTTAAAAATAAGGCTTAAAAAACGTACTCGTGTCTCACCGTTTCACGAAATCACGTCATTTAAATTATTATTATTTTGTTATAAATATTTTTTTTTCAAATATTGTATGTTTTTACTAAATAAAAAAATATACTTAAAAAAATAATTAAAAAAAATAATTTTTATTTTTAATTTTTGTTTTTTTTTTTAATAAAACAAGGCATTTGTATTTATATTTAATATATGTTTGAAAAAATCTTTTAGTTTTAAAATTTTAAAATCTAAATTATTAAAAAACACCACCTATATATATATATATATATATATATATATATATATGTGACGGCTAATGTGCAAACTTGGATAGTTTATAAACTAGCTGGATAGTTTATAAACTGGCCAAACTGTCAGCTATTTTAATTGAAAATGTATTTTGTATGTAAATTAGCGGCTAGTTTACAAAATAACCAAGAATCTTGGCTAATTTACTTGAAATTATTAGGGAAACTAAAATAGCTGGATAGTTTGTATACTATCCAATTCAATTTGGCTAATATGAAAACCAAAATTTCTAGTAACACAAAATAGCCAAGCTTTAGCTAGTTTGTAAACTAACCAACTAATTCTCTGGCTATTGCCCATTTTAGTTGGGTTTTTTGCTCAATGGGGCGGGGGGCCCAATGGGGCCGTGTCGGTTGGGTTGTGTTGTTGAGTTTGGGTTGGTTTGGGTTTTTTTCTCTCATTTTTGACCATTTGACCAATGGGGTGGGGGGGGGCCAATGGGGCGGGGTCGGTAGGGTTGTGTTGTTGAGTTTTTTAACAAGGAAGCGTTAAAATTTTGCCTATGATTCATTTTTAAAACGTTAAAATGCATAAAACAAATCCGGTTAAGCCGGCAAAACGAAAAACAATGCCGTAACCTCACTTTTTTAATAAATTAGCCAGAGTATTGGTTGGTTAGTTTATAAACTAGCTAAAGCTTGGCTATTTTGTGTTACTAGAAATTTTGGTTTTCATATTAGCCAAACTGAATTGGATAGTATACAAACTATCCAGCTATTTTCCCTAATAATTTCAAGTAAATTAGCCAAGATCCTTGGTTATTTTGTAAACTAGCCGCTAATTTAGTTGAAAATACATTTTCAATTAAAATAGCTGACAGTTTGGCTAGTTTATAAACTATCCAGCTAGTTTATAAACTATCCAAGTTTGCACATTAGCCGTAACATTCTTGGTTCTTAAAAGAACAGTATGTCTGACGACGTTTGGGATCAATCTCATGTACTATCTTCAGGTATTATCTGCTGGGCTGCTGTTGCTGCTCTACTGCGAGTTAGACGTGGAGTGAGCTGATCGTTTTTTATATACCCTATTAGCTTTCCGACGTGTTCAGCTAAGGAAGATTTTTTTTCTTGTTTTAAGACTGCGTTACGATGTTCTTCGCGTCGAACGTTGATACGTCTATTGGTCTGTCCCACGTAGCTTCCGTCACAATTCTTACAAGAAAATTTCGTAAACCCCTTGTGCCTCCAACTATATTTTTGGTTTGGCGTTTGGAAGTATTTGACCGATCTTTCTTGGGGCGGTAAATGTGTTCTCAATGTTGTTTTTTGAGAACTTTGCCTATTTTTTCGGTTGTCCCTTTGACGTAGGGAAGAAAGGCCACAGAGGACGAGAACAACAAACACATTAATCTACACTTTCATCCAATTTCTCCGTCACTATGTTTTGGGATACTATCATCATTTTTTGTTTTATAATGGCCGCATAACTTATGTAGTTTAATACATTGTTGGATTCCTTGATTTTGATTCTATCTAAAAATGTAAAATTCCAATTTGGCGGCCATAGAAAAAACAAAAGATGGTGGTGGTATGTTAAAATCCAGTAGACCACAAAAATCACAAATTGAATGAACATGGAGATAATTGTGCAGGTTAAATTTACATGTAAAAATTAGTTCTTCTTCATTATTTTAGAACCGCCCATTTTTTTTTTAATTTTAAATACTATTTTAATAAGCTGTATAATAAAATTCTGTATTTTTTGCAAATGTAACTTATAATTATTAAAATGTAAATTTTGGTTAAACCGTAACGTCAAAAAAGTAAACTTAGATGATATAATTGTAAAAAAGTACCTTTTAGTTAAAGAAAGAAAATTTATTTGTAAAAAGGTAAAAAAGGAAAAAAATTAAAAAAGTTACCACATGTAACACAAACTGAATTTTGCTAGTGTGTTTTGGCGGTTAACTGTAGAGGGTATATAATATTTTGTATTAAATAGTTTTTGAAAGTTACACCTTTAGAAGATATACTTTAATAAAATTTTTCCTTTTTTTGTAAGGGTTTCTTACGGCTACAAGCATTTGGCATTTTTTTAACAATTTTTGAAAAATTTAGTATGACTTAGTTTATTAATTTTTATAATACCCTTATAATTCATAAATTTAATTTATATTTGGAGTTTTATTTAATTCCTGGAAATTAAATTACAAACGTGATGTTTATGTGTTTAAAATTTTTAAATCATAAAATTCTATTTGGTCAAATAATAAAAGTGTCTTATTCGGCATCACTGATTCTCCGAAAAGAATAAAGAATAAATCCAAACCCAGGGAATATTAAAAATTAATCGTACGCTCCAGTTAACCGAAAATCCGAAAAACTTAAAAGTTTTCTCACGCTGTCATCATAAAATACAAGAAGGGCGCAACCTCACATTTTAAAAACTCCTCAAATATTAAAGTTTCTTGGCCATGTGACAGAGCGCCCCCTTGCTGTGCTTCATTAGCTTTCCAAACATGTAAACCGATAAAATTTTGTAGTGTCTCTTTTGTGTATAAATGACTTAAAAAAACATCGCGCAAATCCTTCATGTACTCTAGACATCCACGGAATATTCTATCGGTGTTTTAAAATGCCGACAAAATGTCTTCATGTCGAAGCAAATGCAAATCTTTGTATAAAATATAATGAATTTATGGTTAGCTTTAAAATTGGAAATTTTAAAAGCATATTGTATTAAAATAAAGATGTTTAAAATTTAATAATAAAATAAAATTAACAATGCCGTTCAAATTAAATTGCACATAATTAATAATATACACGGTGCTGTTCTGAGAGGTGATTTTTGGACTTTCTGTGAAACATAATTTTTTTTATATTCTTGTTAATTAGGTCATAACTAAAATTTTAAGAGCAAAATAAAAAAAATTTGACGGTTAATTTTGTTTTAATTGGATGTTTATTAAAAATATGTATGCACACTTTCAATTCTCCAATTAAAAC